ATTATAAGCTCGAGGCCAGCCTGATCTGCATAGCACTCCTGTCAAAACCATAAAACAAAAATCAGGTCCATCCCAATACAATAGGAATAAATAATCACACTGCCGAGTTCATGTCTGTGGACTGGAAGATCAATACTTAAGAGATACCATTTCCCTCACACAATGATTACATATTACGCTTTCCCAATTAAAATCCCAGGAACGTTTCTTGCAGTTTGTCAAGCAGATTTATTCATTTATTTGCTATTGTGTGTGTATGTAGTGTGTGTGAGTGCAGGTGAATGCAGGCCAGTATGTGTGCAAAGGTGACAAGATCAGTGACGCAGAGGAGACCCAGACATTTATAGCAGCTGCCACTGAGGGCACCTGAGCCTCGGACTAGATCTCTTCAACAGGACACACAGAACACTCTTGAAAAACTCACCAACCAACTCAGCTATATTAAAATTTAAAACTGGCCAGGAGTGGTGGCACAGGCTTTTACTCCCCGCACTTGTGAGGCAGAGGCACGAGGATCTCAGCCTGGTCTACAGAGTGAGTCATAGGCCAGCTGGGGCTACAGGGAGACCCTGTCTCAAAAAGACAAAAAAAAAAAAGTAAAACTGTTGCTCAAAAAAACTACCATGGAACTGAATGTGGTGGACACCTGTAGTCCACTTACCGGTGAAGCAGGAGTATCAAAAGGTCACAGTTAGCCTGAGCTGCATGGCAAGACCCTACACATATACAAACATGTTCTAAGCTGGGCGTGGTGGCGCACACCTTTAGTCCCAGCACTTGGGAGGCAGAGGCAGACGGATCTCTGTGAGTTCGAGGCCAGCCTGGTCTACACAGTGAGTTCCAGGACAGCTGGGGCTACAGGGAGACCCTGTCTCAAAAAGACCAAAAAAAAAAACAAACAAACAAAACCAAAACCAAAACCAAAACCAAAACCAAAGACAAACCATGTGTTCTAATTTGGGCTCTGCTGTAATAAAAGGACAACAACCAAAAACAACATGGGGAAAGAGGCTGGTTTGCAGAGCACATGCCAGTTGCCATCCACCATGGCGGGAAGTAGGGCAGGAGCTCAAGGCGGGAACCTGGAGGCAGCACTGAAGCAGAGGCAGGAGGAACTCTGCTCACCTCTCCCTGGCTTGCCCGGCTGCCCTCCTAACACAGAGATGGTGCCGCACAGTGCGCTGGGCCCCCTGTATCAATTAGCAAGTAAGAAAACGCCTCACTCGCATGGCCACAGGCCAGTCTGACGGAACTGATGGAAGCAATTCAGGAACTGAGGCTCCCTCTTCCAGGTGACTCCGGGTGTGCATTAAGCTGACAAAACTAATCAGCACGCACGCACACGCGAGCACATGCACGCACACGCGAGCACATGCGAGCACACGCATGCACATGCAATACTACTGCGTGAAAAAGCAGAAAGGAGAGTATAAAAACAACCTGTCCATAACTCCAGTTCCAGGGGATCCAACAGCCTCTTCAGTCCTCCGTGGGTATTGCACGACATGGGTGCACCTACCTACATGCAGGCATAACACTCATACATATAAAATAAAAATAATAGCCAGGCGTGGTGGTGCATGCCTTTAATCCCAGCACTCAGGAGGCAGAGGCAGGCAGATCTCTGTGAGTTCAAGCTCAGCCTGGTCTACATAGTGAGTTCCAGGACAGCTGGGGCTTCAGGGAGACCCTGTCTCAAAAAGACATAAATAAACAAATTAATTAATTAATTAATTAAAAACAACCTGCCAGGACTGGGCAGATGGCTCAGTAAGCAGGTCCCTTGCCTTGAAAGCACAAGGACCCAACTTCAGCTCCTCAGCACACACATAAAAAACCAGCTGTAGCAGCATATGCCGTAACCCCAGGCCTGGGAAGACAAACCCGGGGGCTTGCTGGCTACCAGCTAGTGCCAGACTGAGAGAGGCCCCCCATCTCAAAAACAACAGGGTAGAGGGGCTGGAGAGATGGCTCGGTGGTTGAGACCATGCACTGCTCTTTCAGAGGACCCAAGTTTGGTTCCTGGCAGCCACATCAGGTGGCTCACAACCACCTGTAACTCCAGCTCCAGGGAATGCAGTCTCTGGCCTCTGTAGGCACCTGCACTCACAGGCATATACCCAATGAGGTGGTGGAGCAGTCAAAGAACACCCAGCATCAATCTCTGGCCTCCACATACGCACGTACGCACACAGGAACATACACATACAAACAGAAACACACACCAAAAAATCCGTCATACATCTATGTACTCAGAATATAAAGAACTTCAAATCAAACACAACCAATCAACAAGCAGGAAGTCACTTCCCAAGCTCCGGAAGGCTATGAACCCCACTGGGAAGCTGCGGCTGCCACTGTCAGGAAGCAGCCAAGCCAACTCGACAACGGCCTCTCCACAGAGCTCATACAACACACTGCTGGGCCATGCCAGGGCACCGATGGTGGCACCCCTTATGGCAGTGTCCCCACCCTACAGCTCCAGTCCCTGGTGCAGCCCGCACGAGTGCACATAATAGGTCTGCACCTCCCAAACACAACAATGCTCTGGGTGGTGCAAGAAAGAGTTTCAACATCTGCACGGTAGTGCACCAGCATGGTGCAGGGGATCACACAGAGTTTGGAGAAGGGCAGATCACCCACAGAAAGTCAAGAACAAGCAGACAAACGAAAGTGATGGGTGGGAAAGGGTGGGGTCCACAGTCAGAACCAGAGTCAAAGGGAGGGGCTTTCACAGGAAGCATGGTCCTTTTCATCTCCTGGTGATTCCACGCATGACTGTGGACCATCTGCTGAGGCACACGCTATCAACCGTGGGTGTTCCTCAAGCACGCAACAGGTAAGTTTGTAAAGTACTGATTTGCCCACCCCCCTACCCCCCACCCCCAACTCAACACATATGCCCAACTGGCCCCACAACTAACCATCGCAGACCACCCTGACTCCAGGAAGAGGCCCAAACAGACTGTGAACCGTGGGCACCTGCACATCATGCATCCACTGGACGCTCCAGAGCAGTGGCCAGGACATCACCTGGCAACCAGCTCACCAGCAGGTGTGAGCCGCCTTCCCTGAAGCCGAATGAACATATCGCCTAAACCCCACATCCTGAGAGCTCACTCTTCTCCCAAAACTAAATGTTGGCCAAACACCGCAGCATGCAGACCTCAACTATGGTAAACACGACACCACAGGAGCAAGTGAGGCTCCCGTCTCCCACAAAACCTTCTCCAGCAAGTATTAAGAAAACCTGACCCAATTAACCTGCTAAACTTACAAGATTTCAGAAGAAAATTGTGATTCTCTAGCCGGACAACAGAAAAAGGAGACTATGGCACTAACCACAAATTAATGCTACCAAAATGGAGATCTAAGTGTTTGGTCTATCAATCTTTTAGAAGTGGCTACAGCCAGGAATGCAGTAAGGGCAGTAATTCATCTGCTAATTCATCTGTGCAGACCATCAAGAGAGCACCCATGTGCCCTTCTTGGAAACATCATCACTGCATGAATTAGTAAAGCATCCCAGACCACTGGAAACAACGAAACAGCTACTTATCTGGGCCACGTGCCCCTCCCCGGCAGGAACACTTTCTCCTTCCCTACCACTGACTCCACATTTAACTCCTGAAAAGCATCTTCAGCAACAAGTTGTTTCAGCCTTTAAAAAACTCACCTGCAGGCCGGGTGGCACACACCTTTAATCCCAGCACTCGGGAGGCAGAGACAGGTGGATCTTTGTGAGTTCGAGGCCAGCCTGGTGTACATAGTGAGTTCTAGGACAGCTGTAAACTTACAAGATTTCAGAAGAAAATTGTGATTCTCTAGCCGGACAACAGAAAAAGGAGACTATGGCACTAACCACAAATTAATGCTACCAAAATGGAGATCTAAGTGTTTGGTCTATCAATCTTTTAGAAGTGGCTACAGCCAGGAATGCAGTAAGGGCAGTAATTCATCTGCTAATTCATCTGTGCAGACCATCAAGAGAGCACCCATGTGCCCTTCTTGGAAACATCATCACTGCATGAATTAGTAAAGCATCCCAGACCACTGGAAACAACGAAACAGCTACTTATCTGGGCCACGTGCCCCTCCCCGGCAGGAACACTTTCTCCTTCCCTACCACTGACTCCACATTTAACTCCTGAAAAGCATCTTCAGCAACAAGTTGTTTCAGCCTTTAAAAAACTCACCTGCAGGCCGGGTGGCACACACCTTTAATCCCAGCACTCGGGAGGCAGAGACAGGTGGATCTTTGTGAGTTCGAGGCCAGCCTGGTGTACATAGTGAGTTCTAGGACAGCTGGGGCTACAGGGAGACCCTGTCTCAAAAAGACAAAAACAAACAAACAAAAAAACACTCATCTCCCAAGTTTAGCGGCAGACTACAGGTGTCCCAAAGAAAGTGTGTCAAGACTTTTTCCTATGAAAGTGATCCTATGTATTGATGAGACTTCCCCAGGAAACGGGAAATCCACAAGACATCACCAGAGACATGATTCACTCCACAGATGTCCACAACAGGCAAGGTAGGGCTGACACAGAACACATAGTGGCACACTGTGACATACACCACAGTTGCTTCTCGACCCCTTGCCCAAAACTTTCAATCACTTTCCCAAATCTGGGCAGTTCCCCTGAGGGGAATGAGAGTTGGGAGGCAGAATCACATGGTTTTGGAGAAACACCAGCTTGTTCTCCAGTTTAATGCTGGGAATGGTTTTTTTGGTCTTTTTGAGACAGGGTCTCCCTGTAGTCCCAGCTGTCCTGGAACTCACTATGTAGTCCACGCTGGCCTTGAACTCACAGAGATCTGCCTGCCTCTGCCTCCCAAGTGCTGGGATTAAAGGCATGGGCTACCACACCAGCAATGCCTGGAAACTTTACCATGTTCTTACAAAACACCAGGAACCATCATTTCCCAAGTAACTCTGAGAACAGCCATGGAGTATCAACAGACCATCCCGCAGAGAAACACGGAGTTGGAGACAGGCATACCTGTGGCAGTGCAGTGCTGAGCTGCCTCTGCAAGGAGTCTCTTTCATGACCGACCTCGTGCAGTTTCCCCTGGGTTAATGCCAGAGTTTCCTGAGTCTCTCTCAGCGTGTCAAGAAGGCGGTCCCTTTCTTCCAACATAGACACCATGAGTTGTTCAAAATGTGAATCGGCATCTGGCTGTGATGGGGAGCCCGACCCCTGGCTCCCGCTTCCTCCTGGGGGGCCTTCTGCTTCGCTGATGGTCGGCATCACCTCGCACATCATCTTGAAACAATAAAGATGAAGACCTCAGTGAGTAGATGCAGAACACGAGTTCCCACAACCTGCAAGGGCAGGACCGAGTCCCTGAAGCTACGCAAGGGAGGAAAAGGCTGACAGGTCTGGCGGCTGTGAGATCTGCTACACTCTGCATGCAGACACTCTGCAAAGCTGCCTGCACAGGCCAAAACAGAGGAACAGGCAAGATGAAGACAAAGCTGCAGGTGAAGGCTATGTGCCTCTGTTAACCCAGTGGGGAAGACAGATTCAAAACACATTCCCAGGGAACAGCAAGAAGCCCAGGAACCTGATAAGCACCAGATCCCCAGATGGGGGCATCTTCCAGAAATGTGTGCAGTCAGCTGCTGGGAAGGACTGCCAGGCCCCTGATTTCTGAGAATGGATACTTGATGAACAGGGAAAAGTGATTGGATCAGAAAGAGGTGCTTTTGCTAAGACTTGCTGCTGTGCCACAAGTGGTCAGGTCAGTCAAGCTAACTTATGTAAGTTTACAGCCAGGGGTGGGGGAGGCACAGAAATGCATCCACACTGGGAATATAGCAAGTGGGGACAGCCAGGACCCAGGTAAGGAGGAGGAAGATGGAAAAGGTGAGATGACATGGGAGATTGGATGTCACCCGGCCTCCCAGCAGGGCAAGGAGGCTGAGCCTGGTCCTGGCCTTGCTGACCACGGTCTCCCAGAGCCCCCAGCCCAGCAGATCCCAGGTCCAGTCCAGCTAACCCAGACCCAGCTGACCCTGGTCAGTCCCTGGTGAGTGAGCCCCGCCTGATTCCAGCCTCTCAAAGACCCTGAACCTGACCCCTGCTGACCCAAGGTCCGTTCTAGCTGACCCCGGCCGAATGACCCCAGCCTAGCCTGGCTGACCCTAGCTGACCCCGGCCGACCCCGGTCCCGCTGATCCCGGCCCACCCCA